GTCTCTGTCTGTGTTATGTCTGTCCAGTTTGTCTCTTAGTTATTTTTTTTATTTTTTTTTAAAATTCTTTATTTTTGTGCCCGATAGGCAATGCAAGAACATATCAATATAAAGGCTTGCGCAGAAGCCACATTATAATAGAGCATATTCATAGACTTCAAAGTTAACATTGGCCTCCATGGCCCGCCTCTTTACATTTTCTTTACAACTTGCCTCCCATCGAGGATTTTATGTTTTTATTGGCTGTTACATTTAACTTCCCAATTTTCATACGATATACATAGTGTGAGCAGTGCTGCTGTGAGGCCCCCGCAGGTTATAAATGAGTGAGATCCCATGCGGTTGTGGGTCTGGGTCCATACACATTCTTTCGAATGTGGTGGGGTCCCGTTTCCTTTCTATGCCCCCCGGGAGAGTATGAACATTGTGTTTTAGGTGGTGTAGGAGGGTGGGGGTGGATCCCTCTAATAGGGTCGGGAGTGTTTTGCAATTAGTTCCGTCCAGGAGGTGGTGTAGTCTAGGTGTCTTGTGTCGGAGCAGGTCTCTGAATTCGTTGGGGTCTAGTCCCGGTGGAAAACTGTCGTTGTGCATTAGGGGGAGCAGGAGGGACGGGAACGGTGCCAGTCCACTCTCCCCCATGCCTGTAGTGTTGCAGTTGTGTAGGGTGAGCCCTGTCCTCTGGTCCCTCTGCTCCTCTGCCATGGTAGAGTGGACAGCGATATCCCCGCTTCCGTTTCCTCTATTTCTTTATATCTCTTGAACACTCTCTCTTTTGTCCACTCCATAATTCTTTGGAGGTGGCAGGATTCATAGTACAGGGTGAAGTCTGGCATGGCCAGTCCTCCCCTGTCTTTGGGTAGGATCAGTGCAGTCATCTTAACTCTCGGTCTCCTGTGGTCCCATATGTATTTCCCCGTTGCCTGTCTCAGGGTCTGAAAAAATGATCTGGGGATGATTATGGGTAGGGCTTGCATGAGGTATAACAGGCGTGGGAGCAGGTTCATTTTTATTACCCGGATCCTGCCCAATCCGACAGGTCTTTCCGGAACCTATCTAGCAGGGGGATAAAATTTTCTCTGAATAGGTAATTTTCCCTTTTCATCAACCATGTGCCCAGGTACTGTATCTTGTGTTGCGCCCATTGGAATGTGTGGCTCTGCTTCAAGGGGGTGGCTCTGTGTTTGGGTATACTAACGTTCAAGATATAGGATTTTGTGAAGTTGATTTTAAGGTTGGATACCTCCCTGAAGATCCTGAAGGCCTTCAGGATATTCGGGCATGAGATCTCCGGGTTGGTGACGAAGAAAAGGAGGTCATCGGCGTATGCTGCTACCTTGTGTTACGTGTCTCCCTTTCCAATACCCCTAATAGCTGCGTTGGGTCGTATGTGTGTCAGAAAGGGCTCGAGTGTCAGCACAAAGAGCAGGGGGGATAGAAGGCATCCCTGCCTTGTGCCGTTGTTTATGGGGAATTCATTTGTCAGGACTCCGTTTACGATGACGTGGGCGGTGGGCCCTTTGTACAGTGCCTCTACCCATCTCCGGAAGTGCGGTCCCAGCCCGATATGTGTCAGTGTGTGGAACATGTATTGCCAGTCGACTCTGTCAAAGGCCTTCTCTGCGTCCGTGGACAGCAGCAGAACGCCTTCGTCCCCACAATCTCGTCTGTGCATGAGAGTGAACGCTCTGATCGTGTTGTCTATAGCCTCACGTCCCATGACAAAACCCACCTGGTGTCACGTATTCATCCGCTTATAGAAATGTGGTTAATGACATTTACTGTCCACACAGGAAAAGTTGTGCCGAGCAGCAACCTAATCCACAGAAGGTTTAATGCTGAGCAGTAATTGTGCAAATGAAACCTGGTCTCATGTATTCATCCGCTTATAGAAAAGTGGTTAATGACATTTACTGTCCACACAGGAAAAGTTGTGCCGAGCAGCAACCTAATCCACAGAAGGGTTAATGCTGAGCAGCAATTATGCAAATGAAACCTGGTAACTGACTTTGGGGTCAAAGGCCGGTTACAGCCTATCAGAACTAAAGGAGGGGTATTTAGGCCCAGTTCTCAGCCTGCTCAGTGCCCTGTCGTGGTTTCCCTTGTGGTTGTCCGAGAGCGCGTTCCTGTTTATAGTTTTCTACCTGTTTTTTTACTTTGGCTTTGTTTATTGACTTCTCTATATTCTGGTATCCTGACTCCTGGCTTTCCTCATCGCTGTGTCCCTTTCTGTGTTCCCTGACCTCGGCTAGTATTTTTGACTATTCTTTGTACGTTAAATCCGGCCATTCTAAGGACCGGTAATACGTTACTTATTTGTCATCCGTGCTGTACAGTTCTACGTGCTGGATCAAACAGTAATCCTGACATTACGACAGGGCCATAGATCCTGTAGAACTGTGTCAGCACATAGCTGCTTGCGAGAGGAAATTAGAGGAGAATGATCACCGCATGGATCAATTCACTCAGGCTTTAAGTACGCTTCTCGCTAGAACGGAGCATCTGCAGCCTGCAGCGTCTCCTCCTATAGCACCTCTACCCTGTGTACCTCCACCCACTGTTAATATGACTCCTAGCATCTCCTTATCACCATCCCTACAGTTTGATGGCAATATCCAGGAATGCAGGGGTTTTCTTAATCAGGTGGAGTACCATTTTGAGGCCTCACCAGGGTCATTCCCCACGGACAGAGCAAGAATTGGTTATCTAATTAATCAATTAAAGGGCAAGGCCCTTGTCTGGGCTAATCCGTTGTGGGAGAGTAATCGGAGCATAGCTCATAATTACCAGGAATTCCTTGCCGAATTCAAGCTCACGTTTGAGCCATTGGGTAGAGAGGATGACGCCTCCACTGCCCTAATGCACATCAGTCAAGGTAACCGGTCTATCTCGGATTATGCTATTGAATTCCGTACCTTAGCTTCCGAGGTAGACTGGACTAACAATGGGTTAATCTCAGCATTCAAAAAGGGTCTCTCAGAGACTATACTAGATGAGATAGCCGCTAAAGAATTACCTAAGAGTCTTAACGAATTTATTACGTTTGTCATGCATATTGATAATAGGTTAAGACTCAGAGAAGTCACCAGAAGCAAGACCAGACGTACGGCTATGTCCCTAGCACCTCAATTCTCTAAACCTGTTTTGTCTAACCTCCCTGTACAGTCCAAACCCGAACCTATGCAGTTGGGGGTCACTAGACTGTCAGAGGCCGAAAAACAGTATAGGAGAAGGGAGGGGTTATGCCTATATTGCGGTAGAAAGGGACATATGATAACTAATTGTCCAGTGCGTCCGGAAAACTTCCGCACCTAAGAACCTTAAGGGGACAGATCTTAGGTGTGATGGAGTTGTCCTCTAACAAAAACAAAAGTAGATTCCTCCTTGAGGTATCTATTTCCCTTGATAACAAGAAGTTTTCTTGCAGTGCCCTAATGGACTCAGGTGCTGCTGGAAATTTTATTGATGTCCAGTTTATTAGGGGTAATGAGATACCGGTCAGGGAGAGACCTACGCCGCTAGCTGTAGAGGCTATTGATGGTAGACCACTCACACAACCGCTTATAACCCACGAAACTGTCCCTATTACGATCTCCATTGGGGCCTCCCATAGGGAGGAGATGACGTTTCAGGTTATTACTTCTCCATCATGTCCTATCATATTAGGGTTTCCGTGGCTGAGTAAGCACAATCCCTATATTGACTGGGCTAATGGGGAGATATTAGAATGGGGTAAAGAGTGTATGGGGAGATGTATAAAACCAGTACTAAAGAGATTGGATACTACTGACCTTCCCACTACCACTCCCCAAACTCCTGGAGTTCCCATACAATACCGAGAACTTCAGGAGGTGTTTAACAAGGCTCAATCTGATGTATTGCCTCCCCACAGAGCATATGACTGTGCCATTAACCTGTTTCCAGGTGCTATGCCACCTAAGGGGGCAGTTTATGCCTTATCTCCCCAGGAGAGTAAAATAATGGAGGAATACATCAAAGAATCCTTGAGCAAAGGGCACATAAGAAAGTCATCCTCACCAGCTGGTGCAGGATTCTTTTTTGTTGAGAAAAAGGGTGGTGAGTTACGCCCTTGCATAGACTACAGGGCACTTAATAAAATCACTGTAAAAAATGCATACCCTATCCCACTCATTTCCGAATTGTTCGATAGACTTCAGGGAGCTAAAGTATTTACTAAGCTTGACCTTAGGAGCGCTTACAATTTGGTTAGAATTAAAGAGAATCATGAGTGGAAGACGGCATTTAATACCCGTAGTGGACACTATGAATATCTGGTAATGCCATTTGGGTTATGCAACGCCCCGGCCGTATTCCAAGACTTTATAAATGATGTACTCAGGGAATTCATTTACTCATTTGTCTTGGTTTATTTGGACGATATTTTGGTGTATTCCCCTGATCTCCAGACTCACCACTCCCATGTGAAACAGGTTCTGCAGACGTTGTTGAAAAATAAACTTTTATTGTAAATTAGAAAAGTGCATATTTGACCAGCCTGAAGTCCACTTTTTGGGTTACAACATCTCTGCATCGGGATTTCAAATGGATCCTAAAAAACTAGAGGCTGTACTACACTGGCCATTACCCTCTGGTTTAAAAGCCATTCAAAGGTTTATTGGTTTTGCCAACTATTACAGAAGATTCATCAAGGGATTTTCTTCTGTAATAGCCCCAATCACAAATATGACTCGCAAAGGGGTTAGTAGCACGGTATGGTCCAAAGAGGCTGTGAATGCTTTTGAGACTCTTAAACAAAGATTTGCCTCTGCGGACATACTAAAACATCCCGACACTAGTAAACCTTTTATATTGGAGGTTGATGCATCCGAGACAGGGGTAGGGGCTGTTCTCTCTCAGAGAGAAAGCCAGGGAACACCATTGCATCCTTGTGGCTACTTCTCCAGAAAGATGTCTCCTGCTGAGCGCAACTATGATATTGGCAATAGAGAACTGTTGGCCATTATTCTTGCCCTCAAGGAGTGGCGACATCTTTTGGAGGGTTCCAAGGACCCCCTGTTGATCATAACCGACCACAAAAATCTGGCATATATAGGGGATGCCAAACGTTTGTCTTCCAGACAGGCTAGATGGTCACTGTTCCTTTCACGTTTTAACTTTCTCATTACTTATAGACCTGGTTCTAAAAATACCAAGGCTGATGCCTTGTCCAGGCAATTTGATAATGAGTCAGCTCCGGAACAGGTGACATCTCCTATTATTCCACCAGAGTGTATTATTGCCACTACTGTCCTCTCACTGTCTTCTCCACTGCTTGGCACCATACTGGAGGCCCAGCCTCAGGCGCCCAGTGGTAAACCGTGTGATAAACTGTTCGTTCCCCTATGTGAAAGGGTTAATATCATGAAAGTGTTCCATGACAATATAACTGCTGGACACCCGGGCATCAATAAGTCCACTGCCGCGATCACTAGATCATTTTGGTGGGATTCACTCAGGAAAGATGTAAAGGAGGATGTACAGGCATGTTCTGTGTGTGCAGTTTCTAAGGTGACTCATGCACTTCCTTGTGGCCTGTTGCAGCCTCTTCCTGTTCCTGAGATTCCATGGTCCCACTTATCCATGGACTTTATTGTTGAGCTTCCTGGCTCTGCTGGGTTCACTACTATTCTCATGGTTGTAGACCGATTTTCTAAGATGGCTCACTTCATTCCTCTCAAGAAGTTGCCATCTTCGCAAGATTTGGTCCTAATTTTCATACGTGAAATTGTCCGTTTGCATGGCATCCCCCACAATATTGTGTCTGATAGGGGCTCTCAGTTTGTGTCCAGGTTCTGGAGGGCGTTCAGTAAACAATTGGGGATTGATCTCTCCTTCTCCTCCTCCTACCATCCACAGACCAATGGTACAGCTGAGAGGGCTAACCAGTCATTAGAAGTTTATTTGCGTTGTTTTATTAATAGCACACAAGACAATTGGTCCGAACTACTCCCGTGGGCCGAGTTCGCTAGAAACAATGCTGTTCATGACTCCTCTGGGCACAGTCCATTTTTTGTCAATAATGGTAGGCATCCTACGGTTCTCCCTGCGGTATTTTCTGATACTGCCATTCCTGCTCTGGATGAGCGTCTGGCCTCCATTCGGGATACCTGGGTTAAGGTTCAAACTGCTCTAGGGGCTGCTGCTGAACGCTTCAAACATTTTGCTGATAAGCGTAGGAGTGCCAACCCGGTGTACCAAGTGGGGGACCGGGTTTGGTTGTCATCTCGCAACATCAAGCTTAAGGTCCCTAGCATGAAGTTTGCCCCCAGATTCCTTGGTCCCTATAGAGTGCTTCGTAGGATCAATCCAGTGTCTTACTCTCTGGCTCTTCCTGCATCTTTAGGGATTCCCAACACTTTTCATGTGTCCTTACTCAAACCTCTTGTCTGCAATAGATATACTGTTCCTTGTGTTCCTCCCCCTCCGGTGGTGGTGGGTGGTCAGGAAGAGTATGAGGTATCTTCTATCGTGGATTCTAGGTTTTCTCGGGGCACTTTACAGTACTTGGTTGTTTGGAAAGGTTACGGTCCTGCTGATCGTTCTTGGGTTTCGGCTCCTGACCTGCATGCGGGCCGTAAGATCCGCGCTTTTCACGCTAAATTTCCTCTCAAGCCTGGTCCTGTCCGCCCGGTGGGCGTTCTTCAGGTGGGGGGTAATGTCACGTATTCATCCGCTTATAGAAATGTGGTTAATGACATTTACTGTCCACACAGGAAAAGTTGTGCCGAGCAGCAACCTAATCCACAGAAGGTTTAATGCTGAGCAGTAATTGTGCAAATGAAACTTGGTCTCATGTATTCATCCGCTTATAGAAAAGTGGTTAATGACATTTACTGTCCACACAGGAAAAGTTGTGCCGAGCAGCAACCTAAACCACAGAAGGGTTAATGCTGAGCAGCAATTATGCAAATGAAACCTGGTAACTGACTTTGGGGTCAAAGGCCGGTTACAGCCTATCAGAAAGAAAGGAGGGTATTTAGGCCCAGTTCTCAGCCTGCTCAGTGCCCTGTCGTGGTTTCCCTTGTGGTTGTCCGAGAGCGCGTTCCTGTTTATAGTTTTCTACCTGGTTTTTGACTTTGGCTTTGTTTATTGACTTCTCTATATTCTGGTATCCTGACTCCTGGCTTTCCTCATCGCTGTGTCCCTTTCTGTGTTCCCTGACCTCGGCTAGTATTTTTGACTATTCTTTGTACGTTAAATCCGGCCATTCTAAGGACCGGTAACACGTTACTTATTTGTCATCCGTGCTGGATCAAACAGTAATCCTGACACCTGGTCCGGGTGTATTAGTGTGGGAATGTGTGTTTGGAGGCGTGTAGCCAATATTTTTGCCAACAGTTTGACATCGCAGTTGATGAGCGAGATGGGCCTATAGTTCCCACAGTGTTCCCTGTCCTTTCCCTCCTTCGGGATGAGTGCGATGTGTGCTGTTAGTGCTTGTTTTGGAAGGTGATGTCCTTTCCTCAGTGCGTTCAGTGCGTCTAGGGGAGGGGGATATAAGTGTTTCACGAACGATTTGTAATACTTTAGTGGTAGCCCTCCGGGCCTGGGCTTTTACCCTGTTTTGTCACTTTGATGGCCTGAGCTACTTCCTCTGTTGAGATTGGTTCGTCTAGACTGTCTGCGATTTCCCCTTCTATGGACGGGAGGGGGTGGGTCGTTAGATAGGTTTGTATTCTCTCCCATAGATCCTCTTTGGCCTTGTCTAGTTGGGATCGGGGGATGGCATACAGGATTGAGTAGTAGTCCCGCGTTATGTCTAGGATTTTAGAGGATAAGTGATGTAGGGTGCCCTGTGTGTCTCTCATTTTGTAAATGTATGTCCTTTGTCTTTGTTTGACTAGCATTCTGGCCAGCAGTTTACCACTCTTATTGCCGTGGATCTGGAAAAAAGCCTTGTGCCTAATTACTTTTTTGTGGTGTTTCCTATGTAAAAGGCCCGTCAGCTCCCGTCTTAGATGTAGTAGTGTCGCCTGGTGCGTCGCGTGTTGTGTGCTTTTGTTAAGTGCTTCTACCCTTTGCATTTCCATCACTAGTTTTGTCAGGCGACTGTCGGTCTACTTTTTAAGGATGGTGCCCTGACGGATGAAGTGTTCACGAATTACGCTTTTGTGGGCCTCCCATCTAATGGTCGGCGAGGTTTGTTCGGCAGTGTTCGTCTCAAAGTAATCTTTGAGCGCTTCCTTGATATCGGTTGTCAAGTCAGGTCTAGTTAGGAGATATTCATTTAGTCTCCATTTGTTGAACCGGGGTTTGTATAAGGGAGACGAGAGTATCAGGAGTACCGGTCTGACCATGTCGCTACCCCTGCTCTGCATCGCGTGTTATTGGTAGAGGATAGTGTGAGGTAAAGAGCTAGTCCAGTCTAGTATATGTGTTGTGTGAGTGTGAGAAGAAGGTGTAGTCCTTCTCATCTGGGTGGTAGGCCCTTTCAGCAGTCTATCAGTTTGTGATGAGTCAGAAGGGTTTTGATTGAGTTCAAGTCTTGTGTCGGGCCCCACGAGTATCCGGAGGAGGTGTCCCACCGCAGATTGAGTGCTACGTTAAGGTCTCCACCCACAATGAGGATTCCCTCCATGAAGGGCTGTAGTTTCTTAAGTGTGTGTGCCAGGAATCTGTATTGTCGGTTGTTTGGGGCGTAGATGTTTGCGAATGTATAGACCTGTCCTGCGATTGTGCCTTTGAGGAAAAGTAATCTACCCTCCCTGTCCGTCATCTGTCCTGTTTCTACAAAAGGTATCTTTTTGTTAACTAGGATGGCCGTGCCTCTTGACCTCCCTGCATGGTAGTCGCTGTAATATCCCGTTGGGTAGTGATGGTTAGTCATTTTGGGGGTCGGTGGCCCTGGCCTCCCTCCTGGAGCGCCTTCCTCTTCTTTTCCCCCTCCCGCTCACTCTCCATGTGTGAGTGAGTCCCCCCAGTGGGGCCCGCCCCCTGCTCAGCTGGGTCATCACAGAGCAGCCAAGGCCCCAGCGGCGGGGCCCAGTCCTAAGTAAGTGCCGGTGCATTCCCCCCCCATCTACCCATTGGTATCGGTTGCGGTGTGTGTGCCAAGGGTGGGGTCGGTGCTACCTGGGATCGGTCCCTATTTGGCAGGTTTTTACACTGAGTTTAGGCATGTACTATCAGGACCCCCTCCTCACTGTGTCGCTAACCTGTTAAGTTTTGCTGTGGTTGTCCATCCTTTTTTATAAGTATATTGATTTACTATCATACTCGGGGGAGTGCAGCAGCCCCTTTAGTAAAAGCTTGTTCCTCTATAGTATCGATACACTTAGGTGCCTCATAGTAGTGTCTAGCTGGGCAGTTGGCTACCCCTGCTGTCTGCCTGTGCTATCTTCCCCTTTCGTTATTTATTGTGAGTCTGCTTGCGTGCCCCTTTTGTGTGTGTCCCCAGTTCCTCCCCCTCTGATTATAGTAGCCCGGTGGACCCCCTTCCGTTCTCGCCCTCCCCCCCTTCTCTTAGCCTGTTGTGGTGTACGTTAGCGGTCCTGATCCCCAAAACGTCCATAAGGGGGCTGGTACCCCTATTGGAGAGAGAGTCACAGTTGTCACGGTTGTTGGTACTTGCGGTTATGTGCTGCAGCTGCTGACATTAGTCCTTTATGCCACCGTCCCCGAGGGCCGGGTGGCTTGTTGTCGGGTCCCTCTGCTTCTGTGCTGCTGTGGCGGGAGCCCCTGGGTCACGTAGGTGCCATGTAGAAGGTAAGGGGGTCCGGCCATGTCATGTTGATGGGTAGAAGTTGTAGTTCCGTTACGAGATCGCTCAAGTCCTCCGGGTGTTGGACTGTGAAAGGCCCCTTTGTTGTGATGGCCTGTAGCCCGGTCGGAAAGGTCCACCGATACCTGATTTTGTTGGTTTGGAGGATTCTCGTGAGGGGCCTCATCACCCGTCAGTATGCCAGGGTAGCTGGTGAGAGATTAGGATACAGTTGTATTTCCACTCCATTCAGCGTCACCCTTTCTGTGCCTCGCGCTTTCTGAAGGATCTCTTCCTTTAGTCGGAAACTGGCCAGGCAACAAATAGTGTCCCTTGGGGGAGCCTCTGGTGGACCCCTTGGTCTCAGTGCACGGTGTGCTCTGATAAACTCGACGTCGGTGGTTGTTGGGCGGCCAGGATCTTGTTGAACCTTTCGGCGTGTCAGTTGGCTTGGTTATATGCGATGCCCGGTGGGTTTTGCCCATATTTGCCTGGTTTTCAGGTGCCATGATGAGGATTTTAGCTGAGCCTGTTGGGGAGCTCCAGGTTTACGTCGCCATCTTCCTCGGCCTCCAAGCCACGCCCCCTGTTGTGTGGATTTAAACCTGATTTTCCTAGAAATTATTCTCTACCTCTCAATAATGATGTATCATGTTGGATTTGGAACCTTAAATACGTTTTGGGGTTTGTTTGTTTTTAACAAGTAATGTGATTGTGATCTCTTTGGCACCAAATCTGAAACAGTGGACCTCTTCAGTAAAAGCACATAAAATATGGTCTAATGATAAGGCACTTGTTGGTAAGATACAAATGTTGAGATATTTTTTTTTCTGTTAGATAAACTGTTTACATGATTTACATGACAAAACTGTTTACATGTCAACAGGTTGTTTTGTTACAGAGTAAACTCTGATGTTTAAAAATAAATTTTTTAGTGTTCATGAGGTGAGTGAATCAGAGCAGCAGGTTCCTCCTCAAGATTTATCTCTTTTCCTATCTCCTAGGTCTCGCTATTTAGTAGGAACAGTCTCCATTTTGGGCCCAAATCTCTCTGTCCCTCCTTTCCATCCTTATGCCCCTCTTTACTATGAGGCTCAAGAAGAATGTCATATTAATATAAGGGGGGGTTTAAGAGTGCTCTGATTGGTTGGCTACTAAGCCAACCAATCAGAGCTCTCTGGCAGGCAAGTCTCAAGAGAAGTGTAGCATGGGAAATTTTCCTATATGATGCAGTACCTGACATAGCGTGGGAAAACCTATGGAAAGTTTATCCCCGATATGAGAGCTCAGTCTGCTTCAAGCCCTTGCGGGGAGAAGATTAGTGATTTTTATTGCATCATGGTTTTGGATTTGTGGGGGGGGGGGTAGCTTCTCCACCATGAATATTATTACTTGGGACTCCAACCACATCCTTAAAAATAGCCTTCAATTGTGGCCAGCAATCTGTCATATCTCCTGTTATTTCACAGCTTGATAGTTTGAAATATTTTGCTCATGTGCCCCCACCTGCTGCATGAAGGTGGGAGAATAGGGAGGTTTAAAAACTCCATTATAGTAATAGTCTTTTGCAGTAATAGTACTTAAAATTATTATTCACTTACATAAAAGCAAGTAAATTAAAATTTACGAAAGTGCATCCTGCTGGATGCATTTGGTCCCTATTTAGGTTAAAATTGGTGCCTTGTGAATAGTGAGAATCCTATACTTTGCATAGAATTCGGATGCAGAAGCACCAATTTATCTGAATGCATGCAGATGATTGCTGCAGATTCACTCGGTCCAACTGAATTCCGACATTATTTTGCTTTAATAAATATAAGAATTGCCATTGCGCTTGGAATTCAGTGATTTTCAACAAAATTTGTCCATACAGACAAAATACGGAGTTTAGTGAGTAACCTCGTCAGGGATATTTACTAAAGTGAGAATTCAAAAGTCTAGGTAAAATAGCCAAACTGTCATCTATGTATCCAGTTTGGCTACTTTGACCTTAAATTTTAAATTCACTTTGATTTCATGTTGAATTCTCACTTTGTGAATAACCTTGACTATCTTGTCCGAAGCAGACCATGAATTGAATATATCAATTTATTTCACATGCTTCACTTGTAACAAGGCTTCAATGATCTTTTAAGAACCGATAATATTCCATATGCCCAAGCTGGCATGGAATATCTTACTTATTTCCTATGTTTATGTTTAAAGATGGCCTTAAATAGATAGGATGTTAGAATATGTCATGTAAAGCCTAGCCCTAGATGATACTATTGAAATTGCACGATTTGTTTGACTATAAAGTCAAATTAATCTTTAGGTTGTCTCACTATTCTTGGGGGAGTGGGGAAATGTTAACATAGTCTGTGTAGATTAATCACTTTACGATCAAAATATATGAACAAGTAGAATCTCTTTCCTTATCTGATCCCAGTTCAGCCTGATTATACGGCCTCTATTTGAGTCATTTAATGGGATGGTTTCTACGGCCAGTGTCAGAGACCTGAGAGATACCTCCCTTGAATGGCTGGACCAACACTGCTCCTTACCTGCCCTGAGACCAAGTATGTATGGAGAATAATACCTGTATATTATTGAAAGGATGCAAAATTATACTTGAAATCACACACTGAAGGGTTTTGCTTATTAGTCAAGTATTTGAAGTGCTGTGCTCTACATCAGATGGGTGTCATTGGACTGAGAAATACTAAGAAATGTAGTTGTACTATTTGAATGGATAAATGGATGGGTGGATGGATGTTTTCAAGAATGGATAGATGGAACGGAAGAAAAGGTTGGTTGATGGATGGATGGACAGATATATAACATTGGTTTTCTCTTCCTCTTCAGCTGTGTCAAGTTCACTGTGTCATCTTAGCACATCAACGTCCATTCTTACTGACCCGACCATTATGCCTGATCAAGCTATGCAAGCAGTGACCAGAGGAGACAATGGGGACAGCTTCTTCTAGCTAAGCCAAAGACGCTTACCTCTGGGACTACTGAACATCTTCAACAAGTGGACTTCTAATATGTCTGTAATGCAGATATCAAAACAGTTGCGTGCCTATATTTAACTGCGAACACCAAAGATTAAATCGGAGATAACTATTCAATATGTTTGTGAATATGTCTGTGGATTTTATTATAAATTTATGTTTTATTGCAACATCAGAGCCTTAAATGTGTTCATTTTATTAAAACATCAATTTGATTTTAGATGCTTTGTGGTGTTTTGCATTGTCTTTTGAATTCCTCTCTATAGTACCTATTCTCTGCAATGTATTAAACCTTTTTATAATTGTTTAGTTTTATTTGAACAAGATATGATGCTTGTGGACATACTGGAGAGATGTACTTTTGAAAACTGTGGCGGGGGCGATGTGTTGGGTGGGATTTGGCTGGAGATAAATTGGTGGAATAAGGCCTGGAGATATGAACTGGGTCACATATGGCTGAGGGAAATATACTGGGATAATATGTCTTTATAGATTAATAATTCTGCAGTGAGATTTTTTTTCTTTAGCCTCTTCTCCTCTTATCCTTTATTTTTGACATTTCCATACGTACCGTCACTTTTAATTTCCTTTCCAGTCTTTTTCATCTGGTGAGTGCACAACACTTGTATTGCTTCTACAAGTTCTGGCATTGTGTAAATATATAAGATCAGTAGTTATGGTGCTTGGAGTGTTCTTTAAAAGTGGTAAGGAAGGATTTTGCTACCCTTCCACTTTTCATTTGAACTTGTATAATTATCACGTGTCCTTTATGCTCATCAATGACTAAAATACTGCATGAATAAATATATATATACATACTACATAGGCCACTGCAAAATGATCAGCTTCTCTTGTTTTGCTTTTTATCGGTATGTGAGTAAAATAAAAATTTTCTATTTATTCTATAAACTACTTACAACATTTCTTCGAAATAAAAATATTGTCATCTGGAGTATTTGATTGCACAAAATGACAACTGACCACAAGAAGGTTGGGATCTTGTGGTCTTCTATCTATACCTTGATTGATGTCCGAGTTAGGGAACATTGTCAGAGCAGAATTAATCAAGTTTTCCTCCAAGATAACCTTGTATGTGGCTTGATTCATGCGTTCCTCACAAAGATGAATCTGCCCGATTTCGCCTTGCTCCACCAAGGATGCTCACGATATCCCTCTGCCAGTAAAGCCAGAATTGAACTCTTCTTTTCCTCACTCAAAACCTTCCTTTTCAACTCTTTTTGCATGGTCAGTGTAAGGCTGTGTACACTTACCTACGGTAACTAGTTCGCCGGTCATGTGATGCCCCAATCCGGTAGACTGACATAGTGCCAGTCTCTGCTCTCTTCTCCAGCTTCCCTAACACTGCCGGCTTTGCCCATGCCCCTTTAATGATGTGGTGCACATGCACCAATGCTATTACGCACTAACACATAATTTTTTTGCACATTTTGGGGGTTTGGTTCCTGTAATAACACCCTTAACCTATAAATAATAGTTGTGAACTGTGCTCTGTTGTGGTTTCTTCTTGACCCAATAGTGTGTATATACTTTTCTGATTCTCTGTGCTATTGACCCTGCTCTCCATTAGACAATTCTGGATTCTGATATCCTTGACTTGGCTTTGTCTAACTTGGTATCTGATTTCTGGCAATGTTTTGACTATTGTGTCCTATGTGAAGCCCGGCCACTTCTGAAGACTGCTCTAAGGACTCAACAGCTGTATGGAAAAACATAGCTAAGGTAACAAATCTAATTTGAGTGTTGGGGCAACCTTGCTAAACTTGGGATCTCTTTGCATAAGGTTACAGTGCAAAACAAATCAAGTGAAAAACATAGCACAAAAGAAAATATGCTTACTTGGGCATCTACATCTATGTCACAACCCCTGGAAATACCATAAACATTGAAAAAATACACACAAAAAAGTTGTTAAAAATGTTGCTGCTAAATAGCACATTGTTGTAATATACACTGCTCCAAAAAATAAAGGGAACACAAAAATAACACATCCTAGATCTAAATGAATTAAATATTCTTCTGAAATACTTTGCTCTTTACATAGTTGAATGTGCTGACAACAAAATCACACAAAAATTAAAAAATGGAAATCAAAATTTTCAACCCATAGAGGTCTGGATTTGGAGTCTGTCACGGATGGCGGTACGGAAACCGGGACCCCTTAGTGCCTAATGAGAAGTTGGGAGTCTTCAGCGTGGAAGTGGATTATCAGGGCCTGGTGCAGGGTAACCGCACACCCCCTGGTGTCGAGCACCAGCGTTTGTGAGGCCACATACCAGGTCCCTGATACAGCTACTGCGGATCCCAAGAGCTAGATGATATACAGACCTCCCAGGAACTGGAAAGGGAGCCTCTGCAGCAAGCATGTATCCAGTACAGAAACAAGGCAAAACTAAAACAGGCACCAAACAAGAAAAAACCCGTAGAACCCAGAACCAGAGAAGGATAGGAAGCTAAACCCAGAACATGTACACAATACATAAGGGAACAAGAATTGTAAAAAGAGTACTGGATACCAGAAGCCAAGGCCAGACATCTCCGTAGAACATGGCATGATGTGACATAGCTCCCTTCTTAAGGAGCGACCTCCAGGCACGACATGCAGCTCTCAGGCTGAGACCAGGAAAGAAGCGAGGATCCAGCAACTAAGTCTTCAAGACTTACCGGAGGCAAGGATTCCCCGACACAGCAGGAGAGTAGTTTGCGGCTAACAATGCCATTCCGAACTACTTTGCTTCCTTTGGAAAGGTCTCCTGCAAAGGAACCACCAGCAAGGACCGAGATCCACTCCAGAATAAGAGCACTGCCACGAAACAGGAACCAAGCATCATAAGAAAACACCTGAAGTGACCACCTTACAGCTTAGCAGATCGACCTGCTCCACAAAATAAGGAAGCCATCTCCAGCAGACTGGTCCAGATACAGGAACTCTTGCATGCCGAATAACCAACAAGAACTAGAACAAGGAACCAGGAACCAAGCATCACAAGAGAACACCTGAAGTGACCACTGTACCGCTTAGCAGATCGACCTCCCCCACGACAAAAATAAGGAAGCCATCTCCAGCAGACTTGTCCAGATACAGGATCTCTTGCATGCAGAAGAACCAGGAAGGACAGGAAAGCTGCAAAGTCCACTCCACGAACTCCAAGTGCCTACAGCCATCTGTCACGGGTGGCGGTATGGAAACCGGGACGCCTGAGAGCCTGATGAGAAGTGGGAGTCTTCAGCGTGAGAGTGGATAGGTCAGGGTCTGGTGCAGGGTAACCGCACGCCCCCTGGTGTTGAGCACCAGCGTTTGTGCGGCCACATACCAGGTTCCTGATACAGCTATTGCGGATCCCAAGAGCTAGATGATATACAGACCTCCCAGGAACTGGAAAGGGAGCCTCTGCAGCAAGCATGTATCCAGTACAGAAACAAGGCAAGACTAGAACAGGCACCAAACAAGACAAAACTAGTAGAACCCAGAACCAGAGACGGATAGGAAGCTAAACCCAGATCATGTACACAATACATAACAATACATAACAATACATGAACAATATACATAACATGGGCAGGACAGGACTGTACATGGACTGGGAATACAAACTGAAACAAGACAAGATATAATACGCAAAACAAGAGGAGACAAAACTAAGTACTATATATGAGAACCATGGGGATTTTGTTACATTATATGATCATACATTGAATAAGCCTGCCAACAACGCCAATGTACCCCATATCTGGCAGGTCCTACTCTGCCTAATGTATGCTAAAAGAACCATAAGAAACACATATAGCACTTACCTGCAAGAAAGGACAGAAGGCTTGAGCAACTGCCTGCAGGCTCCAACTGAAACAAAATGAATCATGGAAAAGGAACAGGTGTGGCAATGTAAAACAAACATTTAAAGGAACCCTGGAGACCCTGGGAATTCCCGGGACGGAATACAGGAATGAACCCAGAAAAACAGACATGGAATAGAAAACCAGAAAAACCAAGAAAAACTAAACAAGAATTGTAAAAGGAGTACTGGATACCAGAAGCCAAGGCCAGACATCTCCGCAGAACATAGCATGATGTGACAGAGTCACACTCAAAATTAAAGTGGAAAAACACACTACAGGCTGATCCAACTTTGATGTAATGTCCTTAAAACAAATCAAAATGAGTCTCAGTAGTGTGTGTGGCCTCCACGTGCCTGTATGACCTCCCTACAATGCCTGTGCATTCTCCTGATGAGGTGGCGGATGGTCTCCTGAGGGATCTCCTCCCAGACCTGGACTAAAGCATCTGCCAACTCCTGTACAGTCGGTGGTGCAACGTGACGTTGGTGGATGGAGCGAGACATGATGTCCCAGATGTGCTCAATTGGATTCAGGTCTGGGGAACTGGCGGGCCAGTGCATAGCATCAATGCCTTCGTCTTGCAGGAACTGCTGACACACTCCAGCCACACGACGTCTAGCATTGTCTCGCATTAGGAGGAACCCAGGGCCAACCACACCAGAATATGGTCTCACAAGGGGTCTGAGGATCTCATCTCGGTACCTAATGGCAGTCAGGCTACCTCTGGTGAGCACATGGAGGACTGTGCGGCCCTCCAAAGAAATGCCACTGTAACGGATCACCTGGCACCCCGACTGGGTACACCCGTTGATGGATGCTCCTAGCGCTTCCTGAGGGCTCCAAGAACTCCAGCCGACACCATAACCTACTGTAGACTCCTCCAGAGAGCAAAGCAGCAACAAACTCTTACAAGAACTTAGCAGTGCATATAGCAAGAGAGTATGCAGAGCATAGCAATCCCTTGTAGCAGATTCCCCCAATAAGAGACGGCACTCCAAATTGAGGGTGAAGTAGAACTGTCTAAAACTTTATTTTACTTGGGACTAACCCATATGGTCATAACATTAACATTGCTGTGAAAACTCAATAAAATTACAATCAGTCAAATCATAGCAGGCAACATAGAGTGACTTATTATAAACACAGTGGCATATTTATAAAGAGGTGGGGGAGACAATAATTAACAGAAAATATCTCACATGCCTGCAGAATTAGCAATATGCAAATGCATATTGCTGTTGCTACCAACAGAGGGCACTAGACAAGCTCTATAGCCAAATCCACCTAGCTGGTAGCAAACCTCAGCAGTACAGGAGAGCAGACAATACATCCCAGGGGCCATAGTCACATGGCAGGAGGCTGGCAATCAGTCTTCTCCAATGCCCAGTGGCGAGGCTGGTTCCGCCACATTTCTCCCCTTTCCCAAAAAGACTAACACGGTATCTGGCCTCGTGTCGGTCAGTGCCTTGGTTAGTCCAGCAACCCATCCACAAAACATAGTCAGTAGTGCAGACCACCCACAATGAAAAGTTACTGCACCTGGGGAAACGTGCAGCCAGTCTTTGTCCAGGTGCTCCATCACGGCTTTGTGGGGTACGGGTACTCTGGATCTGTGGGTTGCTCAGTGGGCAGAGACCAGCACTACTTTGCCCTGATGCCAGGGCTTCAGCTGGAGTAGTCTGGTTGGAGCCCAGCTGTGAAGAGGTGGTAGTAGGCTCCTTTCCCCAGACCCGGTGCTGCTGCTAGAGGGGGAGACCGACTGTCTCCCCTTTTGATAAATAGTCCTGCTGCTGGGGATCTGGACCAGCTACCCCGCACCTCTGTAGACCGGGTGCAGAGACCGCAGTCCCATCTGGGAGAATAAGGTCTCCCCTTTGGGATATAAGCTGGCACTGGGGAGAGGTGGTAACGGGCTTAATAGTTTTTCCCTGAAATAAAGGCATCCCCCGAAAATAGGCCCTAGTGCGTTTTGGGGGGGAGGGGGGAGGGG